AGTGTCTTACTCTTAAATGTATTGTGATTTAAAAACTGTGTGCCTCTGGGATTCGAAATGTGACTATATAGCAAATGCAACTAATTGCCCAGCTCTAGTTCCATTTATCCCCAGAAACTCAGTCTTCACCCCTCCTAATGCAACATGATGACACAGACTTCTGAATTCAGCGGCTGTTAAACTTTCCTACTTTAACCGTTTGTGATTCTTGTTTGCAGCACTAAGTTGGTTGTTAAGGGGCGTCTGGTGTTGATGTTTCAAAGCTGTGCAAGTGCATCAAACACTGAGTAAAAACAGTTTGGGTTTTTTTTGTCATTATGGTTGCCGAGGAAATAAGTGGGTCTACAAGCGGAAAACTGGAAAAGATTTACTTCTTAAAGTCCCTTAAAGTCGTTACATTTCATATCGAACTTTGGTACGATCCAAAACCAAGTAAATGCAGTGTCAGTATCGATACGGTTTTATTTTTTATAATCATGAAAATGTTGATTGCCGTTTTAGGGATTTTCAATTATCGGACTAAAACAAGGGAACATTAACAAAACAAAGTTGAAAAGCAATTTAAAGCAAAATCTTAAGAAAAAGCGAATGCTGCTTGTTTGGTTGCTGATGCTGCGACTGTAGTCGGTGCGTCTGGAGGAAGAAGGAAAGAATTATCGATCAATATAAATACCAGCAGGATCAATCCACACACCTCCAGCCACAACCTAAACCTCTCTGTCCCACGGCGCATCGGTGCAGTACTTCCTGCAAAAGGAAGCCTAGTAGTTCTCTTTATGAACTATATTTGCATTTATTATTCCTGTGAATTATTTATTTATGTTTTGAGTACTTCAGGTTTTCATAATTTTTAGGGCAAAATTACAAGAAATAAAGGCTTAAAATATTTAAGCCTGACCCATGTTAAACTTGTTTTTTAGAACATATTCTGGTGTTTGAGCAGGGCCTGTGTAGAAATGTGTAACATTTGTTCTTTTTTTTTCTTATTTTGACAGATGTGGGCTAGTTTGCAAAAGTTGGAATGAAATGATCCATCAGGACCACCACGCTAGTCTTAGGAGAATGATCTACATGAGGGAACTGGAGGAAGCTCTTGAGGTAGTTTGGTTTATTTGGCTTCAAACTAATCACAGGTGTTTTTATGTCATTCTTAGGGTCCTGCCACAACTTGCCGATTTAGCCAGCATATGCCCGACCTCCCAGAATCTCCTAAAATGCTGGCATACTCTGAACTTTCTAGTTTTTCAATTTTGGGCGTATAGAGTAGTCATAAGGAGTCCCGAGCTTTTGTCAGCCTAATTTATGCATAATGGAAGATGTCTATTGAACAGTAGCATGCACTGCAGCAGCAGCAGCTTTCAATGGAACGCTCCATTGAAAATTAAACGTTCTTTTCTGTTGCTGTTGTTCAATAAAAGAACATTTTAAGATCATTTGAGGCGACATTACTATACTTTAGAGCGACAATATATAGACTATTTACCAATTTTAATGCATAATTAAAAAAAACAATTTCCAAAGTTGAGAGGACCGCGGCAACCAGTGGACCTCCAAGGCTAACTGCAGCCTGTCTGCAGCGGCCGTCTCTGTACATAGTCGTGTGCAAAGTACTGGTGGCTCTGATGGCAATTTTTGACCCGGCTTTGGATTTAGTTTTGGAAGGATTAGACTTGGGGTTTTCCTTGAAACGTGAGCAGGAAGAGGCTCTATGCTCCTTCATTTTTAAGAAGGGCGTATTCGCCGTCTTCCCGACAGGCTGTTTGTTTACACTTCCCCACCAGCTTCCTGTCACGCTTACTACGCCAGTCAGTAGCGCTCATTGGTCAGAGCGTTTGCCAATAGGCACAGACAGCCCAGACTCCTGACGTCTCATTCATTGGGACCAGACTAAATACATTTAGTCTGGTTTATCAAGCTAAGTAACTTACACTTAACATATGTCATAGGGTTGTCAAAAGTATCGATACCCAAAAAAGTATCGATACTGAAACGTTGTATCCGGATACAATACTCATTTTCAAAAGTATCGATACAGTGCTACCACCAGTGGCACCTAAACAGTCATTCATCTTATGCGCTGATTAGAGGAAAATGCGCTTTCTGGACACTGTGATTGAATAATTCTGTGCACTTTTCGGTTTCAGACTTTTTTTTGTAACAGGTGCAGCTGCTGAGAATTATTTTTGTTTCTTAAACGGTTTGGCTAGTGTCATTGTTATGTGTGTAAAGCATAGCCAAGGAAGGAACACTTAATTTTAATTTTGTAAGTTTTTTTATCAAGATTGCTTAATATTGTGCACAGCATACAACCTCAAAATATTGTTTATTGTATTTATTTGTCTATTTACTGTATTTAGTTTATTAATAAAAAAATGTCTGTTGAATTTTGGAGTATTTGTTTTTATCCTATCGAAAATGACATCGAGTATCGAATATTTTACTTAGTATTGGTATCGAGTTGAAAAGTTTAGTATCGTGACAACCCTAATATGTCAATGATCAGATAACTTACCTGTAACTTATGGCATACGCTGGCATACGTATGTCTACGTGTGCCAACATGCTTCTGCATGCTAATAACTTGCACAACATGCATAACGTACCCATAACTCATCCAACGTATGCCTGCATTTTTGTCAGATCTAAATCGTCAAGGTGTGACAGGGGCTTTACCAACAAACTGAGAGTTGTTGTTTCCCTGATTTAAAAGAGATACTTGATGCTTCACAAGATCAAAGCAGTA